CCTTAATCCTCACAATAATCTGAAAGCCAATTTTCCCACTTTTCAATTGAGGGGACATTTTCAGAGAAGTTAAGTAGCTGGCCCAATATCATGTAGTTAATAGGTAGCAAAGCTGGAATTTAAACCCAGTTTCCTCTAACACCACTAGATTCTAATATGCTCTTTTTGCTACATCATGTCTCTTTTCTACAGCAAAACTAAATCAAGTCAACAAAGTTACTGAATATCTACCAAATATCCAGGTGCCTTCAGTTTCTATTCCTTGGGTGCCCTGACTCCAGCCCTGTAACCCTGTTTCTCTTTTTCAAAAGTTCCCACTTCCAAATATCTGTCTCCTTCCCATTACCTTTGTCCCCTGTACTAGCCTTCAGTCAGCAATGCAGCAATACTCCAGGTGGCCAACAGGCACAACTCGCTCTTACACCAGGAATTTATACAGTGAGGACCAGGGCTTTGCCAACCGTTGCCTGCACAATTATTCCCAATTTAATGGCAGATTCCACTGAGCCACAGTTGAGCATCTCCCATCTCCTCTTTGGAGAGGAAGCATTGGGGGGAGAAGAGGAGGACCTCTGAAGGGACACACAGCTGAATAAACAGATACCTCTGAGGGTGAGGGGTAGCTCCTCAGAGGAGATGGATTTAAGAACATTTATTAACCCACTACTAGGTGAAAGGCCAAGTACTGGAGATACCACAAAGGTATCATGAGGAAAAGGGCGGATGTGGTCCTGTATATTTATGGAGATTATATTCCAGTGAGGGAGACAAACAACAAAAAGTAAACAAATAGATAAAATGATCCCCCATGGTAGCAAGTGTTGTAAGAAAATGCACAAGGGGCTAAGAAAGAGGTTGGCGGGAGGTCAAGCTCACAAGTCAAATGAGGGCAGTGAAGGAGCATGGTCATCATGGGGAAGATGGAGAGGAAATGAGAAGCAGTGAGAGCAGTGAAATGGAAAGGGGCCAGCAGCCTGTTTGCCCAGGATTAGGGCAGTGAGAACTGGTTCAGCTGCCTTCTCAGCCCCTGGCTCTTCCTGGCCTTCACTCATCCCCCAGCACTCATCCCTGCAGCCTTTCATTGGCTTAATGATTCACTCTCAACCTTTCCCTAGCTTCCTGTGTGTCAGGAGGCGGTGGGGAGAGCTGTGCGCCTCTGAGTATAGCAGCAACAGGGATGAGATTGGTTGAGAAGGAATGGTTGGTTAGCAGTATAAGTTGTTTCGATCCTCTCTGTCCCATTCCGGCCTTGCCACAAAGAAAGGTCTCTAAGTGCCGGAAGGACAGTAAAGATAACTAGGCCCAGCTGGAGGCCCAGATTCCAGATGTAGGAGGTAGTGGTGAAACAAGATCTTGACAGCCCGATTTATTTCCCCTCTCTTGCCTAATGCCCTAGAGAAATTTTCCATCATAAACAAGTTGTGTATTCCTGAACTTGGGTGCCCCCACCTCTCTCCCACCAAGCCTGTTTCTTCCATCATCACTATTTCCCCCACCCCCAATTTACACCTGTGTATGTATGTGGGCCCATGTACTCATGTCAATAGTCATGTATTCATGTTAATAGTTGTGTGGCATGCAGGTTCCCTTAGAATAAGGATGTAGGTAGGTGTGTGGGCTCATTGCCTGGGTATGAAAACAAGGATGGTGGCAGGTGTGAAAGGCAGGTGTGGGAAAGGGATGTGTCTCTATAGAGGAGGTGTATTTTATGTTGGTTAGGAAGAAGTGTGATACATGAGTTTAGACAGCAGTGACGGGTGTAAAACAAAGCAACAGAGAGGTCCAGGAAGCAGAAATACATGTATCTATACAGAAATAATGTATTTATTCTAGCCCAGTTATGGGGATGTCCTCTATTTGCATCCCACATGTCCTTGGTTGAGAAGCGCCATTAAGTGTTCCTTGTTTGGTATGTGTGTAAGAATTGTCTTAGGGGTACCTGGGTGACTCAGTTGGTTGAGCATCCAACTCAGTCATGAGCTTGTGTTCGTGGGTTTGAGCCCCACATCAGGCCCTGTGCTAACAGCTCAGAACCTGGAGCCTGCTTTGGATTCAGTGTCTCCTGCTCTCTCTGCCCCACTTGTGTTGTGTCTCTGTCTCTCAAAAAAAAAAAAAAAAGGTCCTAGCTGTTCTTAAGATGTAAATTTGTATGTGGGGCTTGAAAGAGTGTATCCATGCCTCAAAGCTTGGGGTGATCCAGCCACTGCGTGAATACCACATGTACACTTTTAGCTTTCATTTAATAAGACTGTTGAGCCACTACTACATGTAAGGCACTCTACTGGGTTTTATGGAGGACACAAAGACATGTGTGACACAGAATAGCCTGTAATGGAAGAGATCATATATGCACTCTGTGTGCACCAGGCATAATATGATCTGGAGTAAAGACTTGAGTCAGATGCACTTCAAATCCCTGGAGACAGCCTTAAAGCCTTCATGTACTTACTGTCAGGACCGCACTCTCCATGCTCTGTGATTCTACTGATTCCCGTCTCATTACTAAATCCCTGTGGTCTTGTGCTATGAATGTCTCTTACTTCACTCCTCTTCCTGGCTCCCTCTGCCATGGCTTATCTCAGGCCCTTGTTACCTTCCACCTGAACCTTTCCAATAGCTTCCTATCCCATGCCCTACTTAGTTCCCAGCTTAAACTGTCCTCCTTTTATATCCTCTCATAACCCAAAGAATCCACAATCTAGAGTCAAACTCAATCTTCTGGTCTGGCAGCTAAGCCCACCTTCTTTCCAGTATCATTGCTTCCCACTACTCCTTTACAGGAAACTTACTGTAAGATTGTTTTTCTTCTGATTCCCCAAACACATCCTGTACTTTTCCAGCTCAAGGCCTTTGCTGAGTCCATTCTCTTCCTCACAGTCATCTTACACATCTGACTCTGTGGTATCCCACCCACTGTTCAAAGTCATCTCAAATGCCACTCTTCCATGAAGCCTCACCTTTTTTTTTTCTCTGCCTTATTAACTAGACAGATGTGAACACTAGTTCCTTTGGGTCCCCCTTTACACTTGGTCTTCAGTTTCCTTAAGACTGTCAAGGCAGTTCTCCTGATTGGGGTCCCCTCCCCAGGCATAGGGTAAGGCCCACAAGGGTGAGGTGCTGGCTAAATCTCGCTTGCCTCACTCAGCAGCCCATATGCTGGAATTCACAACCTCAGTACTTTGAACAGTACCTTCAACAGGGTGCCTGGCACCAGTGAATGCTCAAAGGATGTTAAATTGTGTGTCCATGAGCAGCTGTCTCTAAAGCAGTTATGAAAATATGTCAATTCTCTATTATTTTAGCCAAGCACCTCTCCATTCTCTCTTATCACCATTACCATTTTGTATAACATCTCACAGTTTAAAATGTTCTTCACATAAATTTTGTTATTTTTCTATAAGACAAGGGACAAATCTGGGTGGCTGCTAACCTCTTGCCTTTCTGCACCAGCCTTATGTGAGCATCTCTGCACACATCTAAGTGGGTAGCTTTGTTGTGTTGTCCCTGCAAAGTCTCTGCACCTTTGCTCTGTATGTGTGTGTGTCCACATGCATTTGTTACATACATGTTAAAGAGGAGCAGAATAGGCCACCCCAAAATGTGCCACTAATGCCATGTGAATTATTTTGAGGTGAAGGCAATCAACACCCAGCAGGCTCAGGAAAGGCTTTTTACCTCTCTCCCTTAACTGGCTAAAAGAATTTAGATAGAGGCCTGAATGATGAAGAAAGCTATTATACAGATAACCTTTTATCTGAAAGATTTATGCTAGACAGGGCAAACTTCTGACTCCCAAACATCTGTTCTTTTTTTCTTTTTAATTTTTTTCACGTTTATTTATTTTTGAGACAAAGAGAGACAGAGTACGAGCTGGGGAGGGGCAGAGAGAGAGGGAGACACAGAATCCGAAACAGGCTCTGAGCTGTCAGCACAGAGCCCGACGCGGGGCTCGAACCCACGGACCGCGAGATCATGCCCTGAGCGGAAGTCGGCCGCTTAACCGACTGAGCCACCCAGGCGCCCCCCAAACACCTGTTCTTATCTTCCTCTGAATTGCCCTCCTGCTCTTTGAAGCCCCAGGCCACTGATCCATTCCTTAGCTCAAGATCGCTTATAAGCCTAAATTGACTTACTGCCTTTGAATCTCATGGGCTTCCCGGGTTCCTGAAGTAGGTAATTAGACTTGTTTTTCTCTTGTTAATCTATCTTATATCAATTTAATTATTAGAGCAGCTAAAGAAGGGACAGTTTTTACTGCCCCTACAATATGGTGTGTGCTGAGGCAGGAAACATTGTTTCTGTGTACCAGTGAGTTCATTTTTCCATGTCTTCTTCAGTAATGACTTTCCTCTTGGGGAGGGGGGGTTCTATATACATCTACAAGTGTATGAATGTGTCCGTGTAATTGTAATTCTTTGACTTTGCTAGGTCACTATTGTAGCATCAAGATTTCTTTTTGTGGGGCGCCTGGGTGGCTCAGTCGGTTAAGCGTCCGACTTCGACTCAGGTCATGATCTCACGGTTCGTGGGTTCGAGCCCTGCGTTGGGCTCTGTGCTGATAGCTAGCTCAAAGCCTGGATTCTGCTTCAGATTCTGTATCTCCTCTCTCTCTCTCTGACCCTCCCCTGCTCACGCTCGCGCTCTCTCTCTCTCTCAGAAATAAATTTTAAAAAAACATTTTAAAAAATTTTTTTAAAGATTTCTTTTTGTAAGTCCTCCTACCTCCCCAGAGATGGGACCTGTGGCCCAACCACCTCCTAAACTATCTGCTGGCCCCTCTCCATCCACATGTCCCGACATGTGCCTGCGACCCGGGACCTCCCCCACTCCACTCACAACTCACATACAACACACAGTTGGGAGCCTAGGATTGCATAGGCCACCCCCTCTCTTTGCTTAATCTTCGGAATTTCCAGCTTGCTAGGGTTCACCACTCCTAGTCGTGGGTGGAGTCGAAAAGGATCCGCCCAATTCCGGGGAGCACAAAATTTGCTCCGCACGGACGCTGGCCCGCATTCGGCCTTCCGCCCAGCTGAGCGCACAATGTGTCACTCTCGCAGCTCCCTCCCCACCATGACCGTTCTGCGGGCCCCGACCCCCGTCTCCTCCACCAGCCCCGGACCCCGGCGGGGCTCTGGTCCTGAGATTTTCACCTTCGACCCTCTCCCGGAGCCCGCGGTGGCCCCTGCCGCACGCCCCAACGCCTCCCGCGGGCATCGAAAGCGCAGCCGTAGGGTCCTCTACCCACGAGTGGTGAGTGTCGAGGAAGTGGGCAGCAGGTGGGGCAGGGCAGGGGAACAGCCGGACACCGAGATCTCAGCTAACCTGTACCGTTCGTTGTCTTTCATCAGGTCCGGCGCCAGCTGCCAGTAGAGGATCCGAACCCTGCCAAAAGGCTCCTTTTTCTTTTGCTCACCATTATCTTCTGCCAGATCCTGATGGCTGAAGAGGGTGTGCCGGCACCCCTGGCTCCGGAAGACGCCCCCAGCGGCTCACCCCCCACGCCCACCCCTGTGCCCCCAGTCCTGGAGCCCCTTAATCTGACCTCTGAGCCCTCGGACTACGCTCTGGACCTCAGCACATTTCTCCAGCAACACCCAGCCGCCTTCTAACCGCGACTCCCCACAACTCCCCCCTCAAAGAATCCGAAAAACAAAGAAACGCCAGGTGTACCTGGTGCGCGAGAGCGTATCCCAAACTGGGACTTCCGAAGGCAATTTAGACTCAACACTGCAGCGGAGACTCCAGTCCGAGCCTGGGATTAGAGGAGCACCGACACTCCGGGGCGAGGCCGGGTGGGGAAGTCATTAATTTATTTCTCGTTGATCCTAATTAATATTTATATGTATTTATGTATGTCCCCCTAGGTGGAGGGGTGTATGTAATATTTATTTTAACTTATGCAGGGGTGTAAGATGTGCCCCCCTACTGAAAATGCAGATCTCTTTGGTATTTGTTGAGCTTTGTGGGAAAGGTGGAAGCAGGGCTCCCAGAATTCAGGGAGATCCTTCTCCCCAGAAGGAATGGAGAGGAGAGTGCCCGGGCTAAGTAAGGCAAGGATGGTGGCGGGTCTTAGGTTTAGGGGCTGGTATTCCGTCCTCCAGGATGTCACTTCCGCGAATCTATTGTGTGAGGATTTGGCGAACTGTTGGGAATAAGGTCCTTGGCCGTGGATCTCCTCGAAGTTGCCCCCAAGGGGTGTCAAAGGTCGGTGGTTCTGTCGGGGGCGGCTGTGGGGTCGCCCGGTATGTTCTGTGAACACAAATAAACTCGATTTACAGTCAGCAGTCATCTGAATGTATCTTTGCAAGCGGCGATCCCCCACTCTTCCTCCACCTTCGGGTGCCAGGACCGGAGGGAGGGCCTGGGGCCACGTCCCTAGCAGGCGCTCCGCCCGAGGTGACCGGATGCGGTCGTTCTTTGCCCAGTATGCGGTTTTCCCAGTTAGTACCGCGGGGTAAATCGGAGATGAAGCAATCTCCCCCGCCCGGGGTTGCCAGACCCACGGCGGTCAAGTCCGGCGTCCCGGGGCGGAGCTCGCAGCTGGGGGAGGGGCGGGAGCGGCCGCTCGCCCAGCAGCTTGTGTAGGCCAGGCTGCGTGCTAGCAGCGAACCGAAGCACGGCCTTTCGGGAAAGGGGCGGGCCGAGGGCGCGGGGAGGAGGGAGAGGTTGGCTCGTCGCGGGGGGCGGGGTTGCGTCTGCCGCAGCAACAGGGTGCGGCTTGGTGAGGGGCGCGGGAGCAGGCCCAGCTTCCCGGAAGGCTGTGCGTCGGGTCCGCTGCTCAGCTCCCAGGTGCGTTGAACGCCCCTGCCCTTCCCGAGACTCCAGCCCCGCCGCTGCCAGCGTGAGGGAAGGTGGGTGGGGAAGGGAGATGTAGTCGGGCTGCGGAGGAGCAGGGGGGCTGGCTTAAGGTCTGGGGGCCGCTAGGCGCCGGAGAGCATTTTCAGATGAGCGGGAAACTGTCCTCACTGATGGCCGGACATGGAGGGGTCCGGGGGCCAGGGAGTGGCTATAAGCCGGAGTGGGAGAGAGCCGCTGGGGATCTGTGGGACTGCACAGGAAAATGCCTTCCCGGAGCAATGGGTGTGGAAGGGACTGGGCCTTGGAAACAGAGTATTCACTTCTGTGGACCCCGCCCGCAAAGTCTTTCTCTCCCTTTCCTCCAGCTGTAACCTCAGCCATGTTTTTCACCTGTGGCCCAAATGAGGCCATGGTGGTCTCCGGTAAGTAATGTTCTTTTCTCAGCCAGTGCCCCCCAGATTCTTGCCGTCCGGCCTCTGCCCTTTACCCTTCTCCCTACCAGCTCCCCAGCGCCAAGCCTTCTGTCCATCCCATCCCCCATGGTTGCAAACCAGCCACTTGTGATTCCCAGCCTTTTGAGGCCCACACTGTCTCCCCTCCTGCTCCCAGATATCCTCGTGGGGATTATCCCCCCAACCCGTTTTTCAGTCTTCCATATTCTAGCCCTATCCCCGCTACTGCAGTTTACTGCCCCCTCACCTTGCAGGTTTCTGCCGAAGCCCCCCAGTCATGGTAGCTGGAGGGCGTGTTTTTGTCCTGCCCTGCATCCAGCAAATCCAGAGGTATGTAGAAAGAGAACCAGGGAAGGGGAATCCCAGTTTTCTCTCTTTCCTTTTTTTCTCACTGTCCACTCCTTTTTCCCATAGGATCTCTCTCAACACACTGACCCTCAATGTCAAGAGTGAAAAGGTTTATACTCGCCATGGGGTCCCCATCTCAGTCACTGGCATTGCCCAGGTGAGGCTTTTAGAGCCTTTCCCGTGATGTCCATTCCTTCATCACCTTCTTTGTCCCCAGATATTAAGAATCTTCTGACCATGGTCTTCCCTACCCCTGGCTGCAGAGAAATGTCTCTGCTAAGTCTCACCTTCTCCAGGGATTCCCGAGCCACTTGACTCATTCTTTTCCTGCTTCCTACCTGGCTTCGTGAGACCTTCACCACACTCACTCTATCCCTACTCTGGCTACAGGTGAAAATCCAGGGGCAGAACAAGGAGATGTTGGCAGCTGCCTGCCAGATGTTCCTGGGGAAGACAGAGGCTGAGATTGCCCACATTGCACTGGAGACTCTGGAGGGCCACCAGAGGGCTATCATGGCCCACATGACTGTGGAGGTGGGCTTGAGGGCAGGGAAAGATCTGGAAGCCATGTCAGAGTGAGTCGGGCCCAAGGACCAAGCTAGTCTGTGGGAGACAGTAGTCAGAGGACTGAGAGCTTAAATTCCACCTTCTTACCATTCTGTTACCCTAGGAAATCTATAAGGACAGACAGAAATTTTCAGAGCAAGTTTTCAAAGTGGCCTCTTCAGACCTGGTCAACATGGGCATCAGTGTGGTTAGCTACACCCTGAAGGACATTCATGATGATCAGGTATACCTAAGTGGCTTATCTTCTCCAGATCCCTGCTTCCATCTCTTAAACCTTCCCAAGGATTCTGATTTCTGCTTCTCTCCCACAGGATTATTTGCACTCCTTAGGGAAGGCTCGAACAGCTCAAGTCCAAAAAGATGCTCGAATTGGGGAAGCAGAAGCCAAAAGAGATGCTGGGATCCGGGTGAGATAGAGCCCACTGGGGGGGTCACTTGGTCACCATGGATTTGTTGGACATGCAGTGGGAGAGGGGATGGAAGGAGCACAACTGAGTGAGGGCTGGTAGAGCTGGGTTGACAGAGGAAATAGATGAGGCCATGTTCAGGGGAGCCTAGTGAGGAGCAGGCTTTCCCCCTAGGGCCTTCCTCTCCCTACTCTGACTTTCTCCCCGATCTTTGTGTGGACAGGAGGCCAAAGCCAAGCAGGAAAAGGTATCTGCTCAGTACCTGAGTGAGATCGAAATGGCCAAAGCGCAGAGAGACTATGAGCTAAAGAAGGCTGCATATGACATCGAGGTCAACACCCGCCGAGCACAGGCTGACCTGGCCTATCAGCTTCAGGTCAGAGCTACCACACTGAGCAATTCCTCTCAAGCCCTCCATCTCATGCTTCCATACTTTCTCAGATTCTAACTCTGATCCCTTTACTCTGGCTATCCATTTCTGACCCAACTCCTCCATAAGAGGAAGATTTGAAAAACCTAACCATTTCAGCTGAAAAGTAAAATAAAGGCCAAGAAGGGATATGGTCAGTAGAACTGGTTATATGTTTGGGCAGACTGTCCCATGTGCAAGGGCACCTGGGTGAAGGGGTGAAGCAGAACTAGAATCCAGTCCATGCTCTGCTCACCATACTGTGCATTCTGCCATGGGTCAATGGTTCTGCATCCACCCAGGGGAAGAGGCACCTTTTTCTGATTTTCCATGGGTTCACAGCAGCCCTGGTAATCCAAGAAGGGCATGAAGGAGAAAAACATGGATATGAGCTTTGAATTCTGTGAAGTGAGATATGGTTAGCCGTTGATATTGCAAGGAGATGTGATCAGTCTTCGTTGTTTGCAGATTCTGTATTTAGAATTTGCCTACTCAAAAATTTATTGGTAACCCCAGAAGCAGTACTTGTGGCACCTTTGTGGTCATTTACACACATGCACAGAGCAGTGAAAAATTTGAGTTGCCCGATGTGCAGTGGAGGTTGAACAAGATGTTCTGCCTTCCCATTTCAGCTCTCATAATGTAAAGAGTGTTGTTTTCACAGTATATTTACTGCCACATTTTTTGCATTTTTGTACTTTTTATTGGTGATTTTGCTGTTTAAAAATGGCCCCCAAGCCTACTGCTAAAGTGCTAAGTGTTCTTAAGTGCAAGGAGGCTGTGATCTCTATAGAGAAAATACATGTGTTAGATAAGCTTCTTTTAGACATGAGTTAATAGTGCTTTTGGCTGTGAGTTCGTTATTAATGAATTAACCATGTATATTACATAAGGTATCTTTAAACAGAAACACATGTAAAACAAGGACATATACTAATCTGTTGATGAAAATACTGTGACCAGGGGCTCACAGGAACCTAACCATATATTTTTCCTAACAGCAAAATAAGTATTTGGTAATTCAGTATTCATGACTACTCTATAGAACAGATCTACCACAAATAATGAGAATAAACTATACTTTGAGACCTTTACCCAAAGGTCTTTTATTTCATAAAAATATTATGAAATTCGGTTTTCCCAAGAGTTGGTACAGGCTGAAAGCCTAACGAAGATCCTACTGACTGGATCAGAGTCTGCATTTTTTTTTTTTTTTTAAGTAGGCTGCGCACCCAGTGTGGGACTTGAATGCACAACCCTGAGATCAAGAGTTGCATGCTCTACCAACTGAACCAGCCAGGTGCTCTCAAAGCCTGCATTTTAACAAAATCCCTAGGGATTCAGGTACACACTGGAGTTTGAGAAGCATTAACATTGTGGAAACCATTAGCTTGAGTGGTCTCCAACCTTCTAAATATGGCTTTCCTTCCCTGTGGATCAAAGGATTGGGCTGGTTTCGGCTCTGTTCCAGCTTTTATCGTTTCTTTATTTTGTGCCAGACTTTGTGCTAGGTGCTCATGAAATAAGGATTCATTCAACAAATATGTATTCAGTGCCTGCTATGTGCCAGACACTGTTTTGGAGGTGAAGATATAAATATGAATGAGGCAGAAAAGATTCCTGCCTTCGTGGAGCTTACATTATAACACAGGAAACAGCTAATAAGCAAGTACATAATTTTCATGGTTCTAATTATCTTGTTTAAGTGCTATGAAAGAAATATACAGAGTGATGCAAAAAACAGCAGAGAGGTACTATATTAGGTTGGGGTGATCCAAGAAAGCTTCAGTAAGGAAGTGATTTATGAGATGAAACCTGAAGATGAGAAGGAGCCAGCATTGTAAAGAGTCATGGACCAAGAGCATTCTAGGCCAGTGCTGTTCAAATAGAACTTTCTATGATGATGGAAGTGCTGTAAATCTGTGCTGTGATGTTGACTGCTTGAAATGTGGCTTGTGAAACTATGGCTAGTGAAATGTGAGGAACAGAATTTTAAATTTTATTTAATTTTAATTAATTTAAATATAAATAGCCATAAGTGGCTAGGCAGAGGACTGTCATGTGCAAAGGCCCTGAGGTAGGAAAGCTTGGTGTATCCCAGGAACAAAAAGGGTTCTGATCTGATGTGGCTGGTATGCAGTGAGTGAGATGGCAAGGAAGGTATGGTCAGGTCATGGAGACTTATAATGCAAAGCCCAGTGGAATGCTACTGGAGAACTTTTTTTAAGTTATATTTATTTTGAGAAAGACTGCACACACAAGAGCAGGGTAGAAACAGAGAGAGCGAGAGAGAATCCCAA